AACACTTTATTATTTATTTGAAAAACAAATGTCTGTAGACATCACATACACCAATCAGCCATAACATTATGACCACTGACAGGAGAAGTGAATAGCACTGATTATTTTGTTACCATGACACCAAACCTGCAGCTCTCGTGAGGTGTTCCTGGTCTGCAGTGGTCAGTATCTATTAAAGTGGTCCAAGGAAGGAAAAGCAGTAATCGACAGCTGGGTTATTTTGCGCTATGGGAAGAAGGAAAGCTCATCTATGTGCTACATCCTCCAAAATGATCATAGTTGAATCAGCAAATATCTCAGTTTCCACAAGAACTGAACATTATAACCTTCACAAAATGAGGACTTATTGCAGGACTGATTATTAGTTGGGTATTGGACTGCATTAGTTTTAGCTAGATGTATCTAATAAAGTGGTGGCACCAAACACATGGACTGCAATCAGACTATATTAGATTAATTAGAGACTGCCATTATTATTTTGTTCATAGGTTGCACCAGTCAAAAATAATTACTGTATCGACCTGTACATTCTGTTCTGAATGGTGATACATGCTATTCATTAGTTGCCACTAGTGATGGTGTTAGACTGAGTATTAGGAATGTTTCTTTATTTCTCTATTTCTCTCTAATCTATCTCTTTTTATAACACCTTCCTCTTGTGTATTATTTGTAATTCACATTAATGAAAGCAGAGAGACTTGCAGGTCTGTCACTGGTTAGAACTCTCTTAAAATGAACTCACTGGGAATATATGGCCAGCCACAGCACAATAAACCTTTTCTTCTGCAAAATGAAAAGCAATAGCAAATTTATTTCTGTTGCTTTAAGTCACAAGCATTTGGTGTGATCGTGGGAAGATGGAGTGAAAGAAAAAGAGGCATAAATGAAGAGTCAAAGCTTAACCCAATGCTAATGTGTTAGAGGAATTATGCAGCTGCTAAAGAAAATGGCATTCATGTCAAGCGAGAGGTGATAATGGTCTCAGCAGGGTCTTTTAAAGTGCTCTCTCTGGCATGTTGTTTGTTTTTATGCAGTTTAGTATGTGTGTACCTCTTTAGTTTGGCTGTTTCCTGTACATCAGTCAGTACCACTGCAGCAAGGCCCCCTTGAGGGCCCTATTACCTTAATATTAGAATTGTCAAGATGAGGAAAAGGTGCCTTATTAGCAATTGGTTAAAAGAGTTTGAGTCTTCAGTACCTGTGTCTGAGAATGGCATTAAAGGCAAGACTGCAGGCTATGAGCACACACACAGGACCTGATTCTAAAACCCAGCTTTGTAGTACATAGGGCTGCCCCCAACTAAACATTTTCCTAGTCGACTGGTAGTCGTTAGTTCAAGCCACTAGTCAAATGTTTAGGATATTAATCTATGAATTTAAACATATACTTTGAGGCATCAGAAAATAGTTTGAGTTCCCTCAAAACATGGAAATAAATAAGTTCCAGGTTGCTCCTCTCCTGATTTATCGCCTCTCCTGGCCCCGTCTGAACCCACAGTGTCTTTGTTGTCCCTGGAGTACTGTATTCCCTTTCTTCCCTTTCTTCCCTTTCTTCAAACTGGCCTCCGTTGGTCTTGGGGGATGTGTTCAGTTCCAGTCTGTGTTCACTGGTAGGCTGCTGACCCCGTTTCTGTATCCTGCTCTCACAGCACTGGTTCTGGTGCTCATTCCAGCGCTTGGCAGCTTTCCTCACTTGGTTCCTCACCCCAAGCCTTAAAACCTCTTCCTCTCGGAGGGCCAAAGCTCCTGAGCAAGTGGTGTAAGCAAACACCAATACTGCCCCAGTACTCCAAGCTCCCAGTCCGGGTAGAGTCAGCTAATAGGACTGCTAACTACCTAATGGCAGAGCCTACAGGTGTCAGCGTGTGTCATGTCTAATAATACATCCATGAGTATAGATCATCCATATCCATGGGCATGGCACAGACAAGCAGTGAAGTAAGTGACTTTCGTGTTACAGGGAGAGATCCGTGTTGAAATGTCCTCTAAAACTGTCGACCCTGCCCTTACAACAAGGCGCAGCTCCCGAATGGAGTTTGAGCTGCTGATTTTTTCTAGGACTAACTGACCAATGAAAACTTGGTCGACTAAGACTTCTCATCAACAAATGGTTTAGTCAATTATTAGCCCTTGGAGTTTATTATCAGACCAAATGATTATACATGATTGAGTTAAAATTTTTTATTGGTATAAATTAAATTCAGACTGGTTCAGACTTTGATTGTTTTTTGCTTAGTTGTGATTATTTAAGTCATATTTTGGTGATTTGTTTCTGTAACCCCTTGTTGACACCAGTAGAGCTGATTAAAACAAGACCTAAAGTGTGCCTTACTATCACACCGGGCTACTGTGTTAAAAGTGTGTTAAACAGGATCCTGAGTTCTTAGCTGTTGATGGCGAGCTGGCTAAATATTCCCTGTTTACTAATAGACGTTACAGTGACTTCAGGCAGGACAAGTAGGTATAGACAAAAAATAAAAAGAGTATGTGTAAAGAAACAATAATAGCGCAGTGCCTCCACTGTGGAACCACTAAGCTCACCTTAAGAACTGTACTGAAGTTCCCCAGAGTAACTGTAAGTATTTATAAGTAAGTCAAATATGAAGAACAACATTATATAGTATAAAAAAGGGAAAAACATTTATTTTTACTTATTTTCCTGGTACTCTCAAAAAAAAGGGTATTCCTTTGAAACAAGTTTGTATCAAACCGAAACACCAAAGTGTTGAGTTCAAAGTTTAAACCTTATAATGAACTCTTAATAAATGGGCAAATAGCCTAAAGATGCTTTATCAACTATATTAATCTTCAAAATAACACTTTCCCTGTTTTGTTTCTCTCAGGATGGATAAAGAAATATTTAACAATGTGGATGTGTATGTAATAGATGAAAATAAATGTAACCTGCACAGATATCAATAACAAAGGTACCAATTCAATATAACAAAGTCCCAAGTACAGAAATATGTACATTTCCGTTCAAACCTAAAAGAAATTTTCCGATTTTTCCCAAGCGCTTGGATTTGTAAACTTCGGGGCCCATGTGGTGGTGCACATATGTAAGAGAAATCCTTTAACTCCTTGGTAGTACAGACATCATCTACACAGGCTGGTAGATGATGCAGCAAGATGGCGAGGTGCAGTAGGTAGATGTCCGTGCCCGATGCAATTCCCATGGCCGGGGTACCTCCTCACAGCGATGCTATTTAGCAGGTTAATTCCCATGGCTCCACTTTCTTTCTAGTCTTCTAGTTACAAACTGCGCTCCTTGTCAAAGCTGGTTGTCTCTCACGACAGTTCAAGCCAATGTCCAGGTCCAACAGTTTCCACTTTTCCGCTTTTCTCTGTTATTGCAAACACGAGCGGGGGACTGACCAAGCTACTTATCACTTTCACAGAAATTAACTGCAAGGTAATATTTGTGCCCATACATATATGTACTTAAGTATACAAATATTAATTCTCTCCGACATCAACTAAGACTTTTACCGCACATTGATACACAGCTGTATTCCTCCCGCACGTGCGGCTTTCCCCATTACTTCTCTTCTGACTATCTTTTCTTCCCTCCCCTCAAGTGGTCACTAATTGGCTTAGTTTACATCAATAAAAAAAACTGAAATCACATTGGCTAAGTTATCATGACACTGGCATTCACAAATAGCAAAGCATCATGGTAGGTGTCGTTTTTCCCCATTAGGAAAAAAACAGTCTTAACCATATTCAGTAGGCCCTACACTTTGTTTTGGAATAATATCTCCACACCGAGGAAAGGAGTAGCTAAATTGTGGATTACATGTCTATTCATAGAAATAATGTGATTTGCTAATGTAAATGCTTTTCTTAACGTAATTGTGAAAAGTATTCCAGGTCTCAGTTTGCACTCAGGGTACTGTAGATGAATTCAAAGTCTAGAAATTGTTGTTAGGTGGGCAATTTAGGATTGAACTTCAATCATATTTTTATTTGACTTTAGTGTTTAAAGTTTCACATAAAGTCATTTTGTGCTCAAGTGTTCTTGAGTCTAGCAAGCCACCATGAAACCATCAGAAAGGAGTATTATTGGAGTGCTTTAACTGCACTGAAAAGGATTGTTGTTGGTAATGTAAGTCCCCCGCACTATTGCTGTCAGTCCACCGAGGCAAGCATTTGTTGTTAGCTTAAAATTGTTCTTTCAAATTTCCATCATGTATTTTTTTTAATTACCATTACACTGGAATACCCGCAAATGTGTAAGCACCATCTGCCATGTATAGAGCAATTTTGATCTGAGCCCTTGATGCACAGTACTCGTTGTTTTTCCATGTGACAGAAATGGCATGGTAAAAGCTAGATAAGCTAGATATTGTAGGTTTCATTTACACCTAAACTGCACTGCTGCTGGAAGGTCTTCACTTGAGATGTTCAGTTTTGTCTTTTTTCTCACAGTCATTTCTTCCAGCTCCTTGACAAAAAGTGCAAGAAATATCCAAATCTAGATGTAGACCAAATTATATTGGACAAGGAGTTAGTAACTGGTTGCTAACCTTGGTGAATTAGTCAGCACTGCAAATAGCACTTCGATACTTAAGTTGCTTAAGCAGCACAGCAATTGTGAGCATGGGATTGTGCAATGCACTTTGTATTATTGTATTTTATAGTGTTTATGTCTACCTGCCAGATGGAAAGTACAGCAAAACCATGCATTACTTTGCCAGTGTGAAAGCGACATTGTAGCTAATAGGATGATCAATACCAGATGTCTGCAACAATTTAATGGCCTTTACTTCAAATTGAATTAGTTTACAAGAGGAAAATGGTAATTCATTTAGTGACGTTTTTTCATACTGACGGAGTAATGCCTCCTTTTTTCCTTTTTTCTGCTCGCTCTGTTATTAAATGTTGACCCTCTTTCTAAAGAAGTAGCAGCATCCAAATTCTGAAATTTACTATTCCTAATTAACCAGTGTTTTATTGGTTAACTCTGATTGAAGGTTCGTTTTTTTTGGATGTTGTTGCAGTGGGTACCAGTGCTGTCGGATTTCCAACAGAGGGAAACGGTTTGGGGCTTTGTGCAAGGGAAACCCAGCTCACCCCTGACCCTGCACATTGGGGACTACAACCTGGACGGCTTCCCTGATGCCCTGGTGGTCCTCCGCAACACCAGTGGCAGGTAGGAGAAATGTTTGATGAGTGGAGTCTTTTTATTTCCAACTATACACACAGAAAGGTGGTGTAAGTTGTTGTTCCTCTAGGACCTTATTTAAGATAATGTCTAGTAAATGAATGAGATATTGCTGAAATTAAACTAATCCTTACTTGGCAGGGGATCCCTTGGAATTCTGTCAAGTAGGTCCCTGAACCCCACTACAACTAATCGTTTCAGTACTATGCCTCACTTCATGAGCCATCGGTGCAGAGGCACACAATTTCTGTGTCTGTGTCCACTTGCAGGGTCTGCTAATGTAGCACACAGTTGCATACACATTAGGTTTGCATTGTTATTACGCTGGTTTCAGCAAATCAATGTCAGGAGCATCCCCTCAATTCCCATGAACACTGGCTTTATTTGTTACCCAGATTTGAATTTATCATGTAACATTCCACATTTTGATGAGATTATACGAACTACAGTATTCCAGCAGAACACGAAGTGAAATTGATTGGAGCCTAATAACTCAAGATGCATACTTAAATGGCTTATGTAAATCTGTTTGGCTTTCAAAAGTATAAATGTTTTTTTTTTTTTTTTCAAAGGCGCTTCATGGAGGATGGATTTACTCATTAAATTACTGTGAAATTACTGTACTTGCAGTGACACGGCTCATGCTGGGAAAAAATGTCTACATTACAAACAGTGGCCCCATTAATATGGTGTTTTCGGTTTACAGTTTACAGGCTCATGTTTTTGGAAACTAAAAGCAATTCACTCTGATAGACTGGTCAGTGATCAAACAATGTAGAGCAGGGATAATTAAATATAATCATTGTTTAAAAATACAATTAATGTAGGCTGTACTTTTTAATGTGTATGTGCATAAGCAAAAAATTATTTGATTTACGTAGTGCATTTAGAGATGGACCTGCATTCTTTACCTGTTTAAGATTACAATCTTTAAAGAACAGCTCTCGTCCTCATACCCAAGTAATAGCAATTTATTCATAGCACAGAAGTTTTCAAAAGTAGATTAATTAAACTCTTCTCATTATTAATTCATGTCAGCTGAAGCATAAATTAGGCATAAATTAATGAGATTGCTGACATTTTGACATTCATGACACAGTGCTAAACTGTCCTTGGCTACAGGATGTAGAGTTTAAAATGATTTGGACTGAGCAATAAGAATATATGACATTGTAGTATAATGAAGAAGTGATTGCCATCCAGTTTACAAGAGCACAGACTGGGAGAAAAGACAGCTAAGGTGAGTGTGTTCTTCAGCTTACGGTCATGGCAACTGATAAGCTAGCCCTTTAAAAATCACTACAGCATGTGCTAGGACGTAAGCACCATGGACACTAGGGTGTGGATTTGTGTGTGTATGTGTGTGTTTGTTGAAGGCCCTGTGTGGATTATTTGGCCTCAGAGATGAAGATAAGATGGCTGAAGGGATCAGGGCTGTGATTGTCTATGCATACTGATTGTTCCCTGGTGTGAGTAAGTGTTCCTTAGGGAGAGTGTTTGAGTGCTTCTTGTGCCAGAAATAGTGAGATGTTTGGTAAAAGCTTCACACACGCATACATTTGAACCCTACTTTCTTGTCTAAGCTCTATATAATCACCAGTAAGTCCTGTCGGGCTTTACCCTTTGCAGTCACCCTCATCTAGAAATGACTTCTGTCACACCAATTCTAATCACACAAGCTATAGCTTTTTTCCTTCCCTTCATCTGTTTACTTCTTATTTTAAGCCTGAGCATTGTAATCCTGTACTGGGCCACGGACGTTATTGTGGAACTTCGTTCCAATACAATCTGACTCCAGCAGTAACATTTAAAACCAAATCATCGGCATATGGAGGATGGAGAGAGAGAGAGATGAATACAGGCCAGGGTGGTAAAGAGAAATTAATGGTTTAAAGGTTAGAGAAGTCTTAAGATGTCTGTGTTTTAATCCCTGAACCTGGAAAATCAAGACCTCTTGTAACTGCAGTTGTGCCCCCAGAGCAAGGCTAGTAAACCCCAAATAGCATCTAACTAGGAAATTCTCAGGTGTGAGCACAGATCCATCCATCCGTCGTAAACCGCTTATCCTGCGTACAGGGCCTGGAGCCAATCCCAGCTGACATCGGGCGAAAGCTGGGGTACACCCTGGACAGGTCGTGTAGGCACAGATGCTAGGTGTATTTAGTAGTGCTGCCAGAGGTCAGTTCATAAAGTAGTACTACTGATCTGCATTGTTTCATTATAGTTAAGGCACAAGGTTTCAGAGGTCATCTTTGATCGGTAGGATGTGCTTGTTTTTATTAAGGCATTTGGTCAAATGCATCGTGTCGACTCACCTGCTTTGGATTCAGCAGCATTCTGCAGTCTGTCCTGCATCGTGCCTCGCTCTGTCTTTAATTTCATTGTAACCAAATGCTCTCTGCTTACCAAATATTGGTACAGCCTGCAGCTGGTCTATTTTAACTCCCACTGTCTCTCCATCCCTCCCTTTCTTTCTCTATCTCTTCTCTGTCTTGCCTCTTCATCCCATCTCCTTCTTCATTCCAAGTGGCTATTTATAGCTGCTTTTAGATCAAAGTCCTGCCAGTCCGTGTCACTCTCCCTCGCCGCAAAATGATTTAAGTGTTCAAAATGGGAAGACAGAAGGAGTAGAGGGTGTGAGATTAGAGTAATCGGGTAGAATCAATCGGACAGTGAGCAGATGGAGGGAGGAGGAATAAATAGAGAGTTAGGAAGTTCATGAATGAATGCATGAGGTCACTGTGATATAGCTAAGTTTGTTGACAAAAAAACAATGATTTGGTGGGTTGGTATGTCTTGTTAGTGCTTTTTTGTTGATTGCCCTACTTATTTTAGTATTTTTGTACCATATATGGTAATATGGCAATGTGCATGATACTGTTCATCATTTGAAGTCCAGAAAATTTTCTGAGTCCAGAAATCGTTCTTTACAGCAACAACCTCCAGCTTGTCTTAGGGGCTGCGTTCAAAGGCCACTTGGGCTACTTAATCCCTTCAGCATGTTCTTGGTCTGCCCATGGTCTCCTCCCAGTGCCCCCAATACCTCTGCAGGGACCCCTTTACATCCCCTTTCCATCCGGCATACGTTTTGGGTGATCAGATTGCAGTCGGATAGTGCTTGACCACATGAGAGTACAGGTGTAAATGCACCCAAGATGCATTGAGGATGTGATCCAATCACCTCAGGAGGTGGTCAGGGACATATTGTGATTAGAGCCAGACCAATATGTTTTTTTGGGGGTCGATGCCGATATTAAAGTGAAAAAGAGCCAATTTATAAGCCGATATTTATTTAGATTTTGAAAATTATTTGGATAGTAGACCTTTGTCCTTTTTATAAACTACATTTAGAACAGGCCAATATTGAAAGCTGTTTTTTATGTGGGCAATATTTTTTTCCTAAATGGATTATGTTAATAAATAGATTACAGTCTCAACAACTGAACATGTAAACAATTGCACGTCAATAAATATTTGCTGCTAGAAGGTGCAACTTTTTCAGCCGTCTGTAGACAGAGAAAGTGACAGAATAAGCATGTGTATTTTACCTTGCACATAATCTTTACCAGCACTCTTTTAATTCTATCTACAGCTACAAGAAACCGTTTCTCAACCACTATCTGGCTTTAAAACATGTCATCTATGATACAGTGACCTGCAGTTGAATACTACATGTCTACAACCACTACTTGCAGATTTCACTCCTACTACAACTACATTATAACTAAAACATTTCACATTTGAAAGAGGGGCTAGAGAACTTTGTCTGTCAGGAAGTCGTGTTAGATACTTGTTCAGCTCACATTTATTTACATGTCACAATCACTTCTGTCAACAGTGTAGCTTCCACCACTCAACTACCGTAACATTTAACACACAGGCTGTGTGAGCCTGGAGGAAGCCGGGAGAGGGCAGTGAGAAACGGGAAGGTTAGCAAATATGGTCATGCAGAGAAGAAGTAATGAAGGCTATTTTTATTATTATTTAAGTAATGTAATTAACGTGACGAATGAAAAACTCACTGGTAACACGGTAACACAGCCACTTTCCTTCATTATTTCTGCCTACTCTGGTAGACTGTGGTGAGCTGATGGTTTTCTTTTGTGGTTTTTGTGCTATGGCAGTATTTTGAGCAGGGGAGCAGCAGAGCTAATATCGGCCGGCCAATAAATCAGTCAGGCTCTAACTGTGATCACATTGAAGTGTAAATGCAATTGTGTTGTCAATCCACATACAACAACAACTTAAGCAGAAATACGTAGAGGTTGCAGTACATCAATACAGCAATCAATATATCTAATGCTCTGAAACAAAAATTTTAACAAATCCGGTATCTGTGGCTATTGCAGGACTCTAATAAGCATGGCATATCATTTCATTCTGACCGAATAACATCATTGGCTGGCCTACCTGCCTGCCTACCTATCCACCCACCCAACTGGATCTCAGTGTGAACACTCTGGACACATATTATTTACCAGGTGTAAATATAATCAGTTTGCAATCAGTAGTGTCCGAACGATTTATTGGCATGCAGATATGATCTAATTGCGGATAAATCTGGATCAGCGTTTATAACAAAAAGTTAGATGAAACCCATGACTAAAATAGTCACACATCCTGTCACTGTGCTACTTATTGATAGAATTATAACACAAATAAAGTATTTCCCTTTTTGCTGGGGACCCCCTGGAACCTCCTCATGGACCCCTGGGTTTCCCCAGACCCCACTTTGAGAACCACTGAGCTACATACACTATTTCCTTTAATGTTCATTAATAGTAGGACTCTGTAGTTTATAATGGATCTTTAAATCTTGTTTATGTTTTAAACATTTGACTGTTATTTATTAAAACTGTAACGTTATCTTGGTCTCATAACATAACAAATATTAGGCATAATCTGTCTTTATGTTTCTGAAAAAAAAGGGGGGAAAGAATATCAGCCGATTCATCAAAATCGGTGTCTGTCTTAAAAGTCTCATATCG